ACACACACACACACACACACACACACACACACACACACACACACACACACACACACACACACATCCTGGTGAAGACTATGGTGGTCTTGGCCATCAGTACCACTCACAACCTGCTCAGGACCATACCCATCCTCACCACACTAGTTACAGGATTTATTTCCTCATTGGATACTTCGGATGAATGTCTTTAATAAACTGTGGCTGGTACACAAGCGTAACTGCCCCCTGTACCCAGTGGTCAATTTAACGCCAATTCAAGGTCATCAACATTGATTCTGCGTCGAACTACCGCGAAACTCTGAAATTGAGCCCATTGGGTAGGTAATACGACTGGCCCATCAACATTAATATACAGGTCTCCTTGGCTAAGGCGCATGACTGGATACAAGAAAACAGGTCTTAACTCGTCAAAGACATGGATTCCTACCCTCATCCATAATCCAGTCCAGCAAGGATTATGGATGTTAGTGTCACGTACGAGCACTCACAACCATATGTTGCAAGTAGCTTGTAATGGAAATAATTTTTTAGCTTATAACCAACCCCGCAAATTCATTCTCTGTTACTTTTTGCGTAGAGTTCATTTCAAAATGTCAAAATTCCTTCCTGGAACCGCGAAGCTGGATTGATTGATGACAGCTGACTTAATGTTCTAAGAGGTTCATAATAAGAACTTGTAATTGTCTTTGATTGCTGAGGCACCAACTAATTATTAATTATCCTTTAAAAGACTCGAGAAAATAGGATGTCATTAGGGCCACTCGCTGGCGAGTTGCGTAGTTAATAACTCATCAACTTTATTGAGCTCTTGGGCCAATTATCCTGGAGTAGTAATATTGTGCTGGTGGCTGGAGGAAATTGATTAATAATCATGCCAGTGCAATGACTGCTCTACTTTCTATGCAACTGTTGCAAGAATCAACATTGTTTGTATGTCCAAGAAAACATGATCATTTAATAAAAAATTTCGAGAAAGTTCGTCAATGTGGGCAGCGTTCATGACTAAATACTCACCTGGTGAGTGACTGTACTCACCTGGTTTGCAAGTTCAAATTCTTTTTTACTCCTCAAATGCTGAATTCCATCCACCAGTCTCCCCTCGCTCGTGTACCACCAATCCCAAAAAGTCTGTACTTGCAGAAAATAGATTACAATATCATGACCGGTAGCAAGTAACCCAACGCAATCTAACCTAACCTAACCCACACATATGAAATTAATTGAATTATGAGATTTTTGTTTGATTCTGGTGAACTTTCTCTTACTTGATTTCGCTCATCTTATTACAAAACTCTCTTGTGTGCTGTAATTACTTGGCCCTCATCAGACATCTTCCTCTTGACGTGGCTTTTGGACAGTTGTGGCTGGACCGTTTGTGTGGGTGCTCTGTTGCTTTTATATTCCGTCTCCACCACTCTCATAATTCTTCTGTACTCCTTTCTGGCCGTTTTATACATGTGATTAAAAACTATTCTGTGGTTTCTATATATTTACCACGCTCCTTTACTTCTCTTTCTCGCTTACAAGCACTCTGTTAATTGGTTCTTGGCCCCTTCTTCTCTTTGATGTTACTAGTTACATTGTCTATTGTGTCTTGTCTTCTTTTTTCCTCCATGTTTTCTTTCCAATGGTATTCTCTACAGGAATTCTGACCTTATGCTGGTCAAGACTTAGCATACTACTCTCCATAGTATACTGGTCAAGACTTAGCATACTACTCTCCATAGTATGTTGGTCTTGAACGCTCTCGTTCTAGCTAGAAGGTTCATTACCACTTCATATACACAGACTAAGGGACGGAGAACACTCTCCTCCGTCATTCTCAATGTTCATCTCATTCTGTGTGTGTGGAAACAGGACTTGCCATGATGCCTGATCTCATCCCTGCCAGTTTCGTGTCACATATTACCAGTAATATGTGCAAGTGAAGCACATATTACTGGTCATAACCGGACGCAGTCTTCCTGCCACCTCTCAAATGTTACACATCAAAACATTGACCAAATTGATGACCATTTATTGCCACCCCTAAACGCCTGAACTACGTCAATGGCGATTTAGGTCATGACGTCACTCGATAAACCAACAAAGCATCAATTTACGCTAATTACATATTTAATTAATTTACCATAATGGGATGAGTGTATATATATATATATATATATATATATATATATATATATATATATATATATATATATATATATATATATATATATATATATATATATATATATATATAATATGCATGGATACCATCACCTCACTAAGCTAAACACGTAATTATCGCACATTAGCGCTTTGAAGGTTTATTTAGTGACCTTATGACCTTAATCGCCATTGACGTAACAAGTTAAGGCGTTTAAGGTATCAAACAATCCCCCCCTCCCCCTCCCCCCTCTATAAAATGACAAATGATACCAATTTCCAATTTCGCTAAATACTAGGCTATGTCCCCAAAATGATCCAAGCAAACTGTTTTCTTCACGATGATTAAATGCTAATGTAATCATCATAATTGATTAAATGTTAATCATATTCGTCATTTATTTAGTCATCAATAATAATTGTGTTATATATATGTCTTAATGAAGACAGTGTAATTGAAGATAGTTGCAGTGATGAAAGGAAGGGGTCGTGTATAGTATAGATAGTTATAGTGGAGAGAGAGAGAGAGAGAGAGAGAGAGAGAGAGAGAGAGAGAGAGAGAGAGAGAGAGAGAGAGAGAGAGAGAGAGAGAGAGAGAGAGAGAGAGAGAGACAGATACAGACAGAGACAGAGTGACAGAGTCAAACATACAGACAGAAAGAGAGGTACCTCAGGAACAATTGTACTATTAATATAAGATACCTTCAAGAATGGACTCTAAGAGTAGTGCTCAATCTGAGAGCCACTCAACTGGCATAAGTCCACCACAGTGTAGTGAGCTTCGCCCTTTGTTGTGGGATGTCTACTTCAGTGATCTCTTACACATTCATAAAGCTCAGGAAGCTGATGACTGTACTCTAACCTTTACACATGGAAAAGAAGAAATACCAACTGCTACGAGGGTCATTAATCAAAACTTTCAGCAAAATCTTACTGGGGAAGGTGATGGCTGGTCACATTTGGGGCTGAGAAAACACAGGAGAAGATAACAAGACTAAATGATAGTGCAAATTATACAAATGAACAAATGAATAACAAAATGCTAGTGTATAGTGATGATGTCGATATATTGGGCATGAAGTCTGATTGTTTAGTGATCATGAAATGCCACGTGCAACAGCAAGCAAGTCACTCAGGAAACTTGCAGCCCTCTGGGGCATCTTATGCCTTCTTGACGCTAGGTGTTGTTTGTGTGGGGTTGTGTAGGGTTGTTTGTGTGGCGTTGTTTGTGTAAAATTGTTTGTGTGGGGTTGGGATATCGGTGGAGAGGATGTTTTGGCGAGAGTAGCGGGGAGATGTGTAAGAACCGAGTGTGTAAGAGCTGAGATCAACAGTTGGCTAATATCTTGCCCATGAGTCCAATATTTTCCTGCCGGGCCACTGTAATCATAAAGTTTTAAATGAATTCACAATTAGATTTGTAAATGTCTTGGTATTATACTTATTTCTTAAAATAATACTCTGTTGCTTCCGTGTTGAAGAACTGAATCATAACATGCTGGCCTCTGGTGTTTCTATCATAAGCTCCACTACCGTCACCATGATTCCATCTGTCGCCAATTCAGCATCCAAGCTTTCCAATTAAATCCTTTCAAAAAGCAGTTCCCCTACTTCGATGTCATTTCCACTACAGTTAATCTTTGCAATATCGCTCTTCTTTTTTTTGAGATATATACAAGAGTTGTTACATTCTTGTACAGCCACTAGTACGCGTAGCGTTTCGGGCAGGTCCCTGGAATACGACCCCCTGCCGCGAAGAATCGTTTCTGTTCATTTTTAGTTCCCCGACATCTTGTTTCCTCTCGTTATGAGTTAATATTTCTTCCCCATTCTCTCTATTCATCCTCATGCTGTCACATTTACCTTCAAATTTATTTAAACTGGCCTCCTCGCCTGCCCCCATCCTGATACTTTTCCACTGTTTTCTCATTCTTCCTATTTCCTCTGACTACTACTACTACTACTAATAATAATAATAATAATAATAATAATTATTATTATTATTATTTAGGAACAAGTACATACAAAATGGGATACAGGAAGAATGGGATACAATAAAGAACCTTCCTGAATCCGGCCCCTGCAGGGCAAGTATATACTATGCCTAACTAAAGCCACTAATACTCAGCGTTTCCTCTATGATGTAAAAATAAACTTAAAACTAAGACTTAAAACTGGTTGAGGTCAAAAGCAAAATTAAACTAAAGTAGAGAAATAAAAAAAAATGTAATTTACGTGGTGAATGTTAGAGCAGAAGTTGCAACAGAGCAGGAGAGAGTAATCTTTACATTAGGATCTAAGTTATTATTTGCTTCCTCATCTATTCTTCCCATTACTTTTACAATTATTTCTTTTGTTCGCGAAATATATTTTCCGTCCAAGTTCAAGTTCAAGTATGTTTATTGAGACAAGAAAAAAAATACGTCTCAAAGGGATAGAGTAGTAGCTTAGGCTACTCTATATATTATCCATTTATTTGTCTATTCCCGTAATTTTATCATTATCTTGTTTACAATCCGATGTTCGTCCTCTGTGGTTAGTTTCATTATTATTAATAATAATTCATTGTGTCGGGGGACAAACAGCCAGGTTTACACGTACAGTACATGTTAGGCTTATATCGGTAGCCCACGTGGTCTACCTCACGCCCTCACGAACACGTGGTTGTGAATACGTGGAACACGTATTATTTGAATATAATTATATACGTGAATTGTTAGCAAGATTGCATTGCGTTTTCACGTGAAGTTTTCATGGACGCAGAACATATATATATATTATTTGTTGGTCTAGGAGTTTGAAAGTGTTTAAAAATTCTTTTGATGCAATTTCTTTACCATGATAAGGTTGAACTACAATGTGCAGTTCAAACGTTGTAAATAGGTGTGTGACTGATTGAATAAATTGTTTTTGTTACTGTTATCTCCAACAGGAACAGCCCCACCACCTGGAACGGTAGCACGGCCACCACCAGGGACAGTGCCATCTCCACCAGCCTCACTAGCAGTGTCATCTCCACCAGCCTCACTTGCAGTGCCATCTCCACCAGCCTCACTAGCAGTGTCATCTCCACCAGCCTCACTTGCAGTGCCATCTCCACCAGCCTCACTAGCAGTGTCATCTCCACCAGCCTCATTAGCAGTGCCATCTCCACCAGCATCACTTGCAGTGCCATCTCCACCAGCATCACTTGCAGTGCCATCTCCACCAGCATCACTTGCAGTGCCATCTCCACCAGCATCACTTGCAGTGCCATCTCCACCAGCATCACTTGCAGTGCCATCTCCACCAGCATCACTTGCAGTGCCATCTCCACCAGCATCACTTGCAGTGCCATCTCCACCAGCCTCATTAGCAGTGCCATCTCCACCAGAATCACTTGCAGTGCCATCTCCACCAGCCTCATTAGCAGTGCCATCTCCACCTGCATCACTTGCAGTGCCATCTCCACCAGCATCACTTGCAGTGCCATCTCCACCAGCATCACTTGCAGTGCCATCTCCACCAGCATCACTTGCAGTGCCATCTCCACCTGCATCACTTGCAGTGCCATCTCCACCAGCATCACTTGCAGTGCCATCTCCACCTGCATCACTTGCAGTGCCATCTCCACCAGCATCACTTGCAGTGCCATCTCCACCAGCATCACTCGCAGTGCCATCTCCACCAGCATCACTTGCAGTGCCATCTCCACCAGCACAGAGGACCTCAACAGGAGCTTCGACATCAAAAGCTTCGAGGTCTTCAACAGCATCGCCAAAAAGAGAGGCGTCCCCATCAGCTTTGTCAACACAAGCTGAAGTAGCATCAATGTCAGCACTAGCATCAATGCCTGCAATGTCATCCATGTCTTTAATAGCATCAGTGCAAGAAATTGCAGCGTCTGTAGATTCAACATTATCTCCTCCCGATCAATCAACAGCACGGATATCTTTACCAGGTGATCAAGCAGGTCACACACCACTACCAGAGGGCCTGGTGACCCTGTTGGACGTCGGGTCAACTGGCGAGGTGAGGCTGGGGTCACCAGGGTCACCCAGTTTGACCTTCCGCCTCCAGATGGAGTTGTGGCCGCTCACCGCATGTCTGTGGGTCAAACCTCACCGCTTCAACAGAGACAACAATCTCTTGTACTTCGGCGACTTGAAGCACCAACGATACGCCCACCTCACGTGTGAGTCCTGGCGGGGTTGATGTTGATGGACTTGAAAGTACTGAAGTACTTGAGTAAGCACTTGATTACTTACTCTTGACCCTTCAAGGATCAAGAGTATATATATATATATATATATATATATATATATATATATATATATATATATATATATATATATATATATATTTTATTCATAAGAACGTGCGTACAGAGAACACAGGATGAGGACACAATTGTAGGTACAAGTAATTATCAAAAGGCAGCACCAAGCCGGGGAGTCTATGTAACACCGTCTATGTAACAGTAAGTACAGGCGCTGCACAAATATATTAATCCACTACTACGCGAAGCGTTTGGGGCCAAGCACAGAAAAGTTTAGATAAATTATTGATTGGTGTAATGGGGGTAAACACTACTAAAAGAGAAGTAAGATTCTCTTACTTAATGTGAGAATGTTTAAGAAATATAATAAATATACAGTACACAGACGGCCACCAACTTTACAAAACAAACAAATAAATAATTTTTTTATTCAGGTAAAGTACATACATACAAGGTAAGATACAAAAGTTGATGTATTTATAGATAGAGCTAGTACATACAATGCCTAAAGCCACTATTACGCAAAGCGTTTCGGGCATATAATGCCTAAAGTCACTATTACGCAAAGCGTTTCGGGCAGAAACTTATATATGTATATAACTTTGTATTTAAACGTATATAACTTTGTATATAAACACGCACTACACTTATGGCTGCAGTGAATGTAACATTTTGTTCAATTTCGTTGAACAGTCCCCGAACCTGGCACATATATTTTTAAACTTTCCTATTATTTTAAACTTGTATAAAATACAATTTATAACAATAATATTGTTAATTTATAACTTTAAATTGGATTGATATAATTTGTTTACAATTGTGTAGAAAGTTTGCAAATGATAGTCATTTGTTAAGACCAACTGATTGTTTTTCAAGTTTGTGTCACCGTTGTAGTGCATTGTGTTTAGCCCTATACAACAGTAATGTTTACAGTGTCCAACGGAATGATTCGCATCCGTATGACGAACTGTATCCTGAGGCTGGAGGTGTCGCTGAGGGTGCGAGAGTGGCAGCACCTGTGTGTGGTGCTGACGCCCGCCCTCAAGGTCTACCTCGAGGGCCACGTCCTCACCACCTCCCTCCACTGCACCATCGACAGCAACGTGACGAACGCGACGGAACTCGCCGAGGTCGTCGTCGGAGGGACCCTGCGGAACGCCTTGCCCTTCTCAGGCTTTCTGGCAGATGTTGTCTTGTACGACGAGGTTCTCAGCGATGTCGAGGTGAAGGAATTAGCCGCGGGGAGCCAAGCGCCCAAGGAATCTTTTGTTGTTGGTAAGTCTTTCATAGAAGACGAACATCACCAAGGCGTGGCCGTGGGAGTGACCTTCGATACTGTAGACATAAAGGAGCTCGTTTCTAATACTAAACATGCAAGTTACATCTACTGCAAAGAGAAGACTAATTTTTATGACGCGAAGGAATTCTGCAGAAAGTTGGGAATGCAACAACTCGAATACACCAAGGAGAAAGATAACGAACTCTCTAAAGATCTTCTGGAGTACATAGGGAATATCTCTGTTCATATAGACAACGTGTGGGCACAGTCCAGTGTAAGGCCTCAGAACGAAGACACAACATGTTCTCTGTTACGACTGCGCCAAGACCCGCTCTCAGTGGAGTACGTTGACTGTCAAACGATTGCTTATGCATTTTGTGAAATTCCAAAGAACCACAGTTTAAAGTTACTTGGCTTTGAGGACGATAACTTATTCTTCGCTCGTTACGATACTCGGGGAGTATTTGAGAGCCTCACTAGCTACCGACTTGTTTACAAAAACAATACAATATACGTGGAAAATGTACAGAACAGAAATATTCTGTTTGAACGTAAAGTAAACAGTAACAGGCAGCTAATAGGGCGGCACCAGTGGCAGAGATCTCAGGAGTTAGATGGAAATAATAAAGTAATTACTATGACCTTGACGGCTTGCCAGAAGAACCAGTTTACTTGCTCAAACGGCGACTGTATTGACCTCAGACTCGTATGTGATTTTGTCAACAACTGTCAAGATGCTGCTGATGAACTTTTCTGCAATGACACAGTGTCTTTCCCTTCTTTCTATAGCAAGAAGTTTTCTCCCGCTCAAGGCAGCAGCTCTAAGGCCTCGGTGAGTCTCAAGGTCACACTCGAACAAGTCAAATTAGTGGATCTTACAAACAATCTGATAGAGCTATGTCTGAGGCTAGATCTTACTTGGCGAGACAAGCGGGTTCTCTTCAAGTTCCTCAAGATGGACGTACCTGTACGCCTGCCGGAGAACACGTTAAAGGATCTCTGGCTGCCAAGCGTCAAGATGGATACGGCTGTTTCAGACGACAAAGACAAGTTCGACTTCTCCAACGACTCCAAAGATGTAGAGGCCACGGCCCGGAGTCGAGGCTACGACACTGTCCTCTACAGCTATGAAGGTGAGACTCGTGGTCCGCTAGCTGATCCAATACTTCTTACTCAAATCAACTCTTTGACTAGTGTTTGTATATCAGTCATTTAAATGTTCATTTCACCAGTTATCTTGCTCCATAAAAGCATTTGAAAATTAGTCTTTACTCGTAGAATTTAATGTTGAATAACTTTCTGTAAATGCAATAGTAAATGACAGTAGTTGTATGTCTGAAGCAGCTCTTGAACATCACACATATGATGTTCCTTAGTGTACTGATATTAGCGTATTGTTATATATTTGAATAAATCAACTGAAAGACTTTCCTCTCCTTGAGTTTACCTCACTAGTTGTGTCTGGCTGTTATTTCGTATCATTGTTTGTACCGAGTTACTTAATCACATTTGTGTTCGTAAATGCCTCCCTTCGTGGAGACAAAATACATTCCACATTGTTTACTTTAAAATTAATGTAATTCCAGGTTATTCCTAAAAAGATGGCTTTAAGTATTATCATAGACACTTGTCACTTCGATAAAGTACACATTGCGGTTCCAGAAAATTAACCATGGTTATAATTTCCAGTTTTAGACCGTCATGACGATCCAGAAATTGACTCTCTCCCTCCTCACAATGACCTTGCGTCCCTTCCCTGCTCCCAGTTACACTACTATGGTCCCAGGTACACTACTATGCTCCCAGGTAGTGACACATCTCCCGCCTCCCACAGCGAGGATGTTTCACGGGGAGGAGACGGAGCTACGAGTGAGCCGGGCAGAGATGGTCGTCTTCATGTGTAATATGGACCTCTTCTTCTACCCTTTCGACATCCAGGTAAGTGTGCCCCTCTCTACACCCGGTCTCTTCACGCGCACGTTATTAGAGTGAGGCATATTACAAGGAGACATAACTAGGGGGGGGGGGAATGCGACTCCCAAAGAGATGCTCTCTTAACTATTGCTGAGTGAGACGTATTCCTTCGCAGTAGTAAGGAAGCTACACGTATCTTCCTAAACTTTTTTGGCCATCATTATCAATTACTCATAATCCTCTCCTTTAAGATTTACAGATGTGTAAGGGGACATGTAAATCCCAACGTTTTACACACGTGTAAAATCCAAGTGTCCCCTTGGATTACAGGTGTCTAATGACTCCTCTCTTGAATTGCAGGTGTGCCGGATACCACTGAGGTTGAGGAGTCATCGTGTGGACGACGTGAGGTGGAATACGAGCCGGGTGGAGGCGGCAGTCAGCAACCATTTCCTCCTGACGCTCTTCGATGTTGTCCACCTCTCCGTCAGCGTCCCTGATCAGCACCACGACACCGTCAGTACCTCGCTAATCTTCCCCACACTCACTATGGGGTATTCTAACACTTAGATCATTTTCCCTTGTTAACAGTGAAGGTCATTTAACTAGGGTTAGGATGTTAGTCATCTGCCACTCCAGGCCAGCTGCCAGGTTGGGGTTCTGGTAGCGATTATTTATATATGAAGTCCGTGGGTGAAGTAATTACAGCGTTGCGATTCGAGCAGAGGTCGTCAGCGAAACACTGTTCGAGAAATGTTCGAACGTCATCAGTGTTTCAATCATAACAAAGGTTGGGGGGGGGGGGAAGGGGGGGTGGAGACTGCAGCCCTTGTAGTGAGTATAGTGTCTCCAGGTTTGGGGCAGGTCGTGGTATTGACTGTATTGTGATCATGAGTGTGGTGACAGGTGTAGTGGTGTCAGTATAGTGACTGGGGCGTGTGTGATGCAGGCCGTGGTGGTGGTGAAGCTGGCCAGGAAGTATGGGGCCTACATCTTCAACACCATCTTGCCCTGCATCGTCTTGGAGATCATCGGGTTCCTCACCCACGCCTTCCCCACAGATGACTTTAGCAACCGTAGCACCGCCACCCTCTCCTGCCTCATCGTCAAGGCCGCCTTCTTCATCCAGGTGTGTAGCCGTTCCCGCTTCTACAGGTGTGTGTGTGTCCTTTCCCCTCCTACAGGTGTGTGTGTGTGTGTGTGTGGCCTTTCCCTTCCTACAGGTGTGTGGCCTTTTCCCTGTTCCAGGTGCTCGTCCTTCCACCTTCAGGTGTGTTTTCTTCTACTTTAGGTTTGTCTCAGTCCCCCCTCCTCCAAGTGTGTATTATTTATGTGTAATAATAATAGACTCCTGTGAACTAATAGCCTCTTATGTATATTAACAGATTATCATGTGTAATTATAGACTCCCATGTGTATTAATAGACTCCCATGTGTATTAATAGACTCCCATGTGTATTAATAGACTCCCATGTGTGTTAATAGATCAATAACTGCGATACTACATCTATCCTTCCCACTAGATGGGGTTATCCCTCATTAACCAGAATAAACCTTTCACTAATTACATCTACTCTCATAACTACCTTCCTCAATAACTACAACTAAACTCCCCACTAACAGCTTGTAGACCTCTTTCAATTAAGTAAGACTTCCCTCACCACAACTACAACCCCAGATCAGCACCACCTTACCACCGTCGGCGGAGCCCAAGCTGGTCGACGTGTGGATGTTTGGCAACGTGTCGGTGCTCACACTTATATTCGTGGTGCATGTGGCGGTGCTCTGTGTTCACCAGCAGCAGCAGCAGTACAGCCTCCGCCACCAGCCTGGCGAGCACCAGTACCTCGTCGACCACCACCACCATCCTGGCAAGCACCGCCAGGACCTGGCTCACATGGACAATCCCAAGGTACTATTAGTGTCTTGGTGTGACGTGGAAAGGTCAAAATTGGGCTCTAGTTCCGCCTCTTGTCATCACGCACCGCTCCTGTGCCAGGTAAGTCCACTACGGGCTCACAATAGTCCGTTCTACTTTCCCCGCTCCTGTGCCAGGTAAGTTACGGGCTCACCATAGCCCGTGCTACTTGGAGCTTGTTTCGAGTAGCTGAATCTATAACAACAACAACAATCTGCCTCTTCCATCTTCAGTCACTCGGTCCGTGTCGAGGGTACTCGCCTCTCCCTACACCAGACAGTACCGTCTCCTTGCCCTAGTAAGTCGCCTGTCTCCGTCCCAGTAATAGGTTCAACCCTTCCTAAGATACTCGTCTGTTCATTTCCCAATCACTAACCTCTCCCAAGCCCAGTCTCTCGATTCTCCCTTACTCGGTCAAGCTAATTAGCAATAAGAACTCCAAATTATCTCTATGCAACTGATTGATGATTGATGAAGATTAAGCCACCCAAAAGGTGGCATGGGCATGAATAGCCCGTAAGTGGTGGGCCTTTTGAGCCATTACCAGTATCAAGAGCTGATACTGGAGATCTGTGGAGGTGCGACTGCACCCTGCGTGATGGGAGATGTCTCCCGTGTCTATGCAGCTATAAGAAGGCAGCTTATCAGGGAGAACCGTTTACGGGCTATTCATGCCCGTGCCACCTCTTGGGTGGCTTAATCTTTGTCAATCAATCATCAAGGTAAGACGTCGCATGGACCAATAGGACTTGTTCAACCTCCTTATTTCCTATGTTACGACTGGGGCAGTATGCTGGATGTTCCGTCTTGGTCTTGAAGATGGTAGAATGGAAGTATTTATTTAGCGTATTGAAGGATTAAGACTATTCTTAAATATTCAGTTTTTTAAGACTATTCGTACAAATAATTCTATTAGTTTAAATGTATTATAGGGATGATAATGGCATTCTTACCAGCAGCAAGTTGAGCGTAGTAAAGATTTTTACTAGATAGCCATAATATGCTCGTTTTCTATCAATCCAATGTGAGGAAAATTTGTATTTAGGGGTGACAAGGCTGTCTTGCTATCTTAAGGCTGCTACATGAATTAACTGAATATTGGCCTTTGCCAGCCTGATAACCCTCAAGGTGGTAGTTACTTCAGCAGTATAAACTCTTGCATGCTAATACCAAGAATTTGTCTGAATTATCTTAAGTTGTGGTCGAAACGCTTTGCGTATTTAATAAATGTGCGTCTTCACGTAATAAATAAGTATCCCTTCCAACACGTTCATATGTATCTCTTATTAAATAAAAATGAGTTATATTATTATTAGTATTATCAGTACTTATTAGTCTCCTTGGCGCAGTGGTAAAACACTCGCCAGGCGCTTCGCGAGCGATTTGGCCTGGGTTTGTATCGTGGTCGGGGAGGATTGACTGGGCGCCAATCCTTATCTGTACGCCTCTGTTCACCCAGCAGTGAATAGGTACCTGGTTGTTAAACTATTTGGCGGGTCGTATTCCAGGGAAAATTAGAATTAAGGACTTGCCCAAAACGCTATGTGTGCTAGTGGCTGTACAAGAATATTAGAACTCTTGCAGACATAAATAAAATAACAATAAAAGTTCGGGATCATTGGATTACATTGGGGGTCCGAACACTTGCTAAAAAAGGACACATTGCCTTAGAAAATGTGCATGCAAGACATTGGAGGGAATATTTAGGTCCCCACCAATGCAGGTTCCATGTTCTTTTGTTTTCCTACCCCTTTTGTTTTTATTTGGCTTTATTTGACATATTTACAATTTACAAGTTGCATGTTGGTGAATATAATGAAAGGTTAAGAGTTGTGAATGTCTCGGAGCTTTTCAGCTTCCGGGCAGGAAGTGAAGACACAACAGGTATTTCCCCTCTGGTTCGCCACATTGAAGTGCTGAAACAGGAAACTGATAGCCTTTCGGTCTCTGTGTGGTAGTGTCAATGAGCCTAGCGCCCAATTAATTATTAGAGAAAGCTCATAGTACCTTTGCCACAGACACCAAGGGTCTCAGATGCTATGGAACCAAATGTGTACCAATGTCCCAGTGAGGTGACCGAAACGTCACTTCTTTTATTTTCTGATGTGTGGGGTCGGGTGTTCAATTTTCAGCCGCGTTATTGTGACTTACTGTCTGCGTGCGTGTGCGTGTGCGTGTGTGTGTGTGTGTGTGTGTGTGTGTGTGTGTGTGTGTGTGTGTGTGTGTGTGTGTGTGTGTGTGTGTGTGTATGTGTGTGTATGTGTATGTGTGTATGTGTGTATGTGTGTGTGTGTGTGTGTGTGTGTGTGTGTGTGTGTGTGTGTGTGTGTGCTCACCTAATTGTACTCACCTAATTGTGCTTGCGGGGGTTGAGCTCTGGCTCTTTGGTCCCGCCTCTCAACCGTCAATCAACTGGTGTACAGATTCCTGAGCCTATTGGGCTCTATCATATCTACATTTGAAACTGTGAATGGAGCCAGCCTCCACCACATCACTTCCTAATGCATTCCATTTGCTAACTACTCTGACACTGAAAAAGTTCTTTCTAACGTCTCTGTGGCTCATTTGGGTACTCAGCTTCCACCTGTGTCCCCTTGTTCGCGTCCCACCAGTGTTGAAAAGTTCATCCTTGTTTACCCGGTCGATTCCCCTGAGGATTTTGTAGGTTGTGATCATGTCCCCCCTTACTCTTCTGTCTTCCAGTGTCGTGAGGTGCATTTCCCGCAGCCTTTCCTCATAACTCATGCCTCTTAGTTCTGGGACTAGTCTAGTAGCATACCTTTGGACTTTTTCCAGCTTCGTCTTGTGCTTGACAAGGTACGGGCTCCATGCTGGGGCCGCATACTCCAGGATTGGTCTTACATATGTGGTGTACAAGACTCTGAATGATTCCTTACACAGGTTCCTGAACGCCGTTCTGATGTTAGCCAGCCTCGCATATGCCGCAGACGTTATTCTCTTTATGTGGGCTTCAGGAGACAGGTTTGGTGTGATATCAACTCCTAGATCTTTCTCTCTGTCTGTTTCATTAAGTACTTCATCTCCTATTCTGTATCCTGTGTCTGGCCTCCTGTTTCCACTGCCTAGTTTCATTACTTTGCATTTACTCGGGTTGAACTTCAACAGCCATTTGTTGGACCATTCACTCAGTCTATCCAGGTCATCTTGTAGCCTCCTACTATCATCCTCTGTTTCAATCCTCCTCATAATTTTTGCATCGTCGGCAAACATTGAGAGGAACGAATCTATACCCTCTGGGAGATCATTTACATATACCAGAAACAGTATAGGTCCAAGGACTGACCCCTGCGGGACTCCACTTGTGACGTCTCGCCAATCTGAGACCTCACCCCTCACACAGACTCGTTGTCTCCTGTTGCTTAGGTATTCCTCTATCCACCGGAGTACCTTCCCTCTCACTCCAGCCTGCATCTCCAACTTTCGCACTAGCCTCTTGTGTGGCACTGTATCAAAGGCTTTCTGACAATCCAAAAATATGCAGTCTGCCCACCCTTCTCTTTCTTGCCTTATTTTTGTTGCCTGGTCGTAGAATTCAAGTAACCCTGTGAGGCAGGACCTGCCATCCCTGAACCCATGTTGATGCTGTGTTACAAAGTTCCTTCGCTCCAGATGCTCCACTAGTTTTTTTCGCACAATCTTCTCCATCAGCTTGCATGGTATGCAGGTTAGGGACACTGGCCTGTAGTTCAGTGCCTCCTGTCTATCCCCTTTCTTGTATATCGGGACTACGTTAGCTGCTTTCCAAATATCTGGCAGTTCCCCTGTTGCCAGTGATTAGTTATACACTATGGAGAGTGGTAGGCTCAGTTCTCTTGCTCCTTCCTTTAGAACCCAAGGGGAGATTCCATCTGGGCCTATAGCCTTCGTCACGTCCAACTCTAGTAAACACTTCCTTACTTCCCCACTGGTAATCTCAAACTCTTCCAGTGGTTCCTGGTTAGCTATTCCCTCACTTACCTCTGGAATTTCTCCTTGTTCTAAGGTGAAGACCTCCTGGAATTTCTTATTCAATTCCTCACACACTTCCTTGTCATTTGTAGTGAATCCTTCCGCCCCTATCCTTAATCTCATAACCTGTTCCTTTACTGTTGTTTTTCTCCTAATGTGGCTATGCAACAATTTAGGCTGAGTCTTTGCCTTGCTTGCGATGTCATTTTCGTATTGTCTTTCTGCCTCTCTTCTCATCTTGACATATTCATTCCTGGCATTCTGGTATCTTTCTCTGCTCTCCAGTGTCCTGTTATTCCTATAGTTTCTCCATGCCCTTTTACTTTGCTGCTTAGCTAGCCTACATCTTTGATTAAACCATGGGTTTCTCATCTTCATTTCTCTGTTTTCCTTTTGGACTGGGACAAACTTGTTTGCTGCGTCCTTGCACTTCTGCGTGATGTAATCCATCATATCTTGGTCCGTCTTTCCCCTGAGCTCTGTTTCCCATGCTATATCTGTTAGGAATTTTCTTATCCCCTCATAGTTTCCCTTTCGGTATGCTAACCTTTTGGTTTCGGTATCCCTCCTCGAGTTCAATAACCCTTCTTCAATCAAGTACTCAAACACCAGTACACTGTGGTCGCTCATTCCTACTGGGTCCTCAAAACCGATTTCTCTTATGTCGGAGTCGTTCAGAGTGAAGACTAGGTCGAGTCTCGCTGGTTCGTCATTGCCTCTCATCCTTGTGGGTTCTCCGACATGCTGCGTTAAAAAGTTGCTTGTCACCACCTCCAATAGTTTGGCTCTCCACGTATCCTCGCCTCCATGCGGTTCCTTGTTCTCCCAGTCAATCTTTCCGTGATTGAAGTCGCCCATGATGAGCAGGTGGGATCTATTTCTACAGGCAGCAGAGGCTGCCCTCTCAATTATAGTGTTAACTGCCTTGTTGTTGTTTTCATACTCTTGACTGGGTCTCCTGTCATTTGGTGGAGGGTTGTATATTACTGCTACTACTATTCTTGGTCCTCCCATTGTTATGGTGCCTGCTATGTAGTCTCTGAACTCCTCACAGCCCGGGATGGCCATCTCCTTAAAACTCCATTCCCTTCTCATGAGTAGGGCCACTCCGCCTCCTCCTCTACCTTCCCTCTCTTTCCTTATGACTGTATACTCCTGGGGAAACACGGCATTCGTTATGATTCCAGAGAGTTTTGTTTCAGTGAGTCCGATTACATCTGGGTTAACTTCTTGTGCTCTTTCCCTTAGTTCACTTGTCTTGCTTGTGATCCCATCTATGTTCGAGTACATCACCCTGAAACTGACTCTCTTCTGCTTCTTTTCTGGGGGGGACCTTTGGGATCTGGGGTGAGTGGGAGCTGGGGGGACCTGGCACGGGGGGATTGGTGGAGGAGGGAGGGCTTGGGGTGGTGGGGGAGAGGGGGAGGGTACAGGGGGTGGATAAGAGGGGGTGGGTAAGAGAGGGAGGGTTGGGGAAGCATGGGGGGAGGAGAGGCTGTGGGGGATAGGGGAGATGGGGGGGCTTGGGGGGAGAGAAAAGGGTGGAGGGCTTGGGGGGCGTGGGGGAAAAGGGAGGGCTGAGGTGGGTGAGGAAGAGGGGAGGGTTTAGGGGAGTGGGGGAGAGGGGAAGACTTAGGTGGGGTGGGGGAGAGTGGGGGGCTTAGGGGGGAGGGGGAGAAGGGAGGGCATGGGGGTGGGAGAGACGGGAAGGCATGTGGGAGAAGGGAGGGCATGGGGGATGGGGGGGAAGGGAGGTCCTGGGGAGAGGGGTGAGGGGAAGAAGGGGGGTGAGTGGGGGGAGGGGGGTGGGTGGGGGGAGGGTGCCCTAGGTGGGTACTTAGTGGGGGGCTGACAGGGGATGGGGCAGGTTGGGTGTCTGTTGGGTAGAATTTGGGGGTGGTGCCCCAATCCCTGTGGCTGTTGCATTGTTTGAGGAGGGTTCTCCACTTCCCTCTGGGATTGTAGGGTTCTGGGTTGTGGTACTCTGATTTCCTTCTCTCTCCCTGCGCTCCTTCCTCGCGTCTGCTGTCCGTATTCTCTCTTCCCTTGTCATATCCCTCTGCAGGAATATTTTCTTGAACTTCTCTACACCTTTTAGACAACACTTCCTTGCTAGCAGTTCCTCTTTCGCGATTTCGCTCATGAAAACCACCTTTATCATTCGGTCTCTGTCCTTGTTGTACTTTCCAAGCCTGAAAACCTTTTCAACATTTCGCTCAGCTCCCTCCATCCTTACCTCTTTAAGGATCTCTTTAATCATGTTTTTGTCCTTGTCTCTCCGCTCCTTTGGTCTGGTCCCTGTTTGTTCTTCAATGCCTGCTACTACTACTGCTCTATTTCTCTCTATCAGCCGGCTAGTACATCTAGCTGCTTCCTGAGAGGAAGCCACTTCCATGGCAACTTCCTTAACCGCAGACCTAGCTTCAGGGCTCTTTTTAAGCATTTCAGCAAATGAGATCTGGGTTGTGGTGGTCCCCTCCACAGTAGCATTCCCATCTCCCTGGGGTACGGTTTGTGCCTGGTATTGTGGAAGAGTCTCCTTTAGGTATCTTATCTCCTCCTTTGCTGCCCTTAAATCATCTTGCAGGTTGGCTACTGTCTCCCTCATTACCCTCAGTCCTTCGTGTGTGTGTGTGTGTGTGTTTGTGTGTGTGTATACATGTCATATCACAGCAACATCCCCTGACAAGTTTCATGACCACAATATCCTCCTCTCCCGGGCCAGGCTGTGGGCAGACTGCCGTCGATCGCCTGGCACAAAGAGACCAGCCCCAACACCACCTTCCTGCCGCGTGTCATCAACTTCGTCGGGTTCTTGCTGTCCTTCTTCAGCTGTGGCGTCCTCATCTGTGCCATGTACGTGACTGTCACTAGGGCCAGGAATGCCGCTCTTCTCCAGTAGTCGGTACTACTTACAAGAGAAGAACTCGAGCGACCGGCCTAATATTGTGGAGGAATTAAGAGTTCGCTATTGGTGGTTTAAAATGATATAAATGTGCCTCTATCATCTAAGGGTTCACCTTACTATCTGGGTACACACCGTGGCCCGCACAACTGCTGCTTATTTCAATACATTTAAAAAAAAAAAAAGCTCCGTGAGACAGACAATAATTTCCTGTCCGAGTCGGTCAGTCTTTCCATTTATAAAAACTAAGGAAAGACATTTTTAATTCTTTTCATAATCATGATAGTCATATTATGTTAAGTATTGTCTGGCCAACTGTTATATATATATATATATATATATATATATATATATATATATATATATATATATATATATATATATATATATATATATATATACATATATGTATATGTATATATATATATATATATATATATATATATATATATATATATATATATATATATATATATATATATATATATATATATATATATATATAACAAGCTTGCATGGTGGCCAAGCCATAAAGCACTTAAGAACCTAAATCTTAATGGTAAAAATATTGTACAAATGTAGCAGGGGACGTACAATACCTAACGAGCGAAGAATCAGTTACGAGTACAGAGCACATTAGACAACATGTCAACTGCGCAGCCCGTCCTCCAAAAATGGGGTGGTAAATGTAAGAAGACAAATCGGAGTAAACTCTCAGCTAGGTACATTACATCAAGGTTAGCGTATCAGTCCAGTACAGTGTGTGGTGATCAAATTATCAGTCCAGTACAGTGTGTGTGATGATCAAAGTATCAGTCCAGTACAGTGTGTGGTGATCAAATTATCAGTCCAGTACAGTGTGTGTGGTGATCAAAGTATCAGTCCAGTACAGTGTGTGGTGATCAAATTATCAGTCCAGTACAGTGTGTGTGATGATCAAAGTATCAGTCCAGTACAGTGTGTGTGATGATCAAAGTATCAGTCCAGTACAGTGTGTGTGGTGATCAAAGTATCAGTCCAGTACAGTGTGTGTGGTGATCAAATTATCAGTCCAGTACAGTGTGTGTGATGATCAAAGTATCAGTCCAGTACAGTGTGTGTGGTGATCAAATTATCAGTCCAGTACAGTGTGTGTGATGATCAAAGTATCAGTCCAGTACAGTGTGTGTGATGATCAAAGTATCAAATACATAACACTAAACTTAACATTTGGATACACTATGTAGCCGTTAAAGCTTCAGATAAATACTGTCCATCTTTATTAAGGTTTCAGGTAAGTACAGTGTACAAAGGAAAATTTACCGTCTAAGTGCATTTTAAGACACTCGGAGCAAGACACTTGGTAAAGACTTATCAAGTGTTTTGGTCAAGACTTGATCAAAACACTTGTGATCAAGTGTATTTGATCAACACTTATCAAGTGTTTTGGTCAAAACTTATCTTGATCAAAACACTTGCGATCAAGTGTATTAGATCAACACTTATCAAGTGTTTTGATCATACTCATCAACGGCACAGTAAGAGCAAGAGCCGTTGATGAGAGCAGGACAGAGGAGCTACACCCCACAACACCCATCAACAGTCTCGAGGGTGTGGCTCAAGTGACTGGCACGAGTACCAACTTGGCTCATCTATACAATATCCAACAATTTTGTTACTTTTATTCGAAATAAATTGGCGAACGAATTATATTTTTTCTCTCATCCTAGCGACATCATGGCGCGAGACAGAGTCACAGGTCTGTTCATTATTTCAGTTGAGAGTGGACAGGGAGAAAGCAGGAGACTGGTCAGCTGTCTCAAGCGTTAGAAAAATAGAATGTAATGGTGATTCTTTTTCTTTCAATTCACCCATATTGCACGTTCCCTCGTTCACCCGGCTGCCCAGTCTCTGTCCTCCTGGAGCAACCGTTCCCATCCGCTGCTCCTCTCTACAGATCTTTTGCCCCACTACGGACAAGCAGGTGCGTCCAAGTCTGTGGTTTATAGGACACTGTGGTCACTAATGTCTATATGGTTTGTGTGGTGAAGGTAGTACGGTGAATATATGACAGCCAGGCCATGTTCCTGTGCCAGGCAAGTTCACTACGGGCTCACCATAGCCCGTGCTACTTGGAACGTTTTGTTCCCAGTAGCTGAATCTTAAACAACAACAGCTAGCCGTGCGGGAGGAAGGTGTGCGAGGTGTGACGTGCTTCCTTACCTTCATCGTCTTGGAAGGTTTGTGTACTCCTGTTTACTTCTTGGTAAGAATGGTAAGTTATGGCACAGACACACTGCTCCTAGAGCATGAAGTCTATTGGTCTGGTGGCGAAGGCTTGGCTGTGCAGGTCACAGTTCTGTCTGATGAAGACGTAGTTGAAGGGTTGCAGGTCAGAGATGATGGTGTAGAGGGAGTACCCGTGGACGTGGAACCTGTTGGAGAGGTGGTGATGATGAGTGGGGATGGTGGGGTGATGAGTGGTTGTGGTGGTCAGTGGTGTGCTGTAGTGGTGGTGGTGGTGACGGTGAGTGGTGGGGTGATGAGTGGTTGTGGTGGTCAGTGGTGTGCTGTAGTGGTGGTGGTGGTGACGGTGAGTGGTGGGGTGATGAATGGTTGTCGTGGTCAGTGGTGTGCTGTAGTGGTGGTGGTGAGTGTACAATATGTACTTGTGCACCTGTGAACCATCTAAGCATCACCGTAAGCGTTACCTACCAACCAAAGCATCAGTGCTAAGTGTAGACGTTAGTCTCAGTAGCGGCTCTCCGTAATGTGTTGGCCTCACCAATATAAACAAAAGCTGTCTTTTTCTTCAAACCTGTGTTTGTTGTGTAAACGTGTTTATATTCATTAGTTTCTGAAGTGTGTTTGAATTTCAGGTGAACGTGAGCTTCCTCCACCACTGTGCCGCCCACTCTAGGCTTCCTCCACCACTGTGCCGCCCCACTCTAGGCTTCATCCACCACTCTGCCACCCACTCTAGGCTTCCTCCACCACTCTGCCGCCCCACTCTAGGCTTCCACCACCACTTTGCCGCCCCACTCTAGGCTTCCTCCACCACTCTGCCACCCCACTCTAGGCTTCCACCACCACTCTGCCGCCCACTCTAGCCTTCCACCACCACTGCCGCCCACTCTAGGCTTCCTCCACCACTGTGCCGTCCACTCTAGGCTTCCTCCACCACTCTGCCACCCACTCTAGGCTTCCTCCACCACTCTGCCGCCCCACTCTAGGCTTCCACCACCACTCTGCCGCCCACTCTAGGCTTCCTCCAGCACTGTGCCGTCCACTCTAGGCTTCCTCCACCACTCTGCCACCCACTCTAGGCTTCCTCCACCACTCTGCCGCCCCACTCTAGGCTTCCTCCACCACTGTGCCGTCCACTCTAGGCTTCCTCCACCACTCTGCCACCCACTCTAGGCTTCCACCACCACTTTGCCGCCCCACTCTAGGCTTCCACCACCACTCTGCCACCCACTCTAGGCTTCCACCACCACTTTGCCGCCCCACTCTAGGCTTCCACCACCACTTTGCCGCCCCACTCTAGCCTTCCACCACCACTCTGCCGCCCACTCTAGGCTTCCACCACCACTATGCCACCCACTCTAGCCTTCCACCACCACTCTGCCACCCCACTCTAGCCTTCCTCCACCACTCAAGGGATATATGCACCAAGGTGTGTAATCCGTGTCTCGGTGTATACATATTAATAAGTTTACGTTTCCCCCTAAGCTTTGTTACTAATTAAAGTATACTTAACATCACTTCAGTGTTTGACAAGCCCAACACTAACCAAGGGGTTGTCCCTTATCCCGCTCCAGTAACTTGACCGCGAGGAACTTACATGTCAATGAAGACGTCGTCACGGGAGTCGCCGAAGGTGTTGGGGTTGTGGTGCTCCACCAACCATACGTCAACCGTCAAGCCGCCGCTCTCCCAGAACGCCTCCACCACACCCTGCTCCACCCCTGCCAACATCAACAACGTTGTTTTAGATTCAGCTACTCAGAACAAAAGTTCCAAGTAGCACGGGCTATGGTGAGCCCATTATCATAATAATGATAATAATAATTATAATTTATTCACAAGAAGGTACAATGGGTTGGAGTGATTACATAATATTGGTATTTATGCATTCTTGCAAATCCACTAATACGCATAACGGTTCGGGCAGGTCCTTACTCTAAAGATGAAAAGGTACATTGTAGCAAGGTTTGATATCATCAAATAACTACAAATAATTGACAGAGGTGATTACACTGGCAAAGATATATGTCTTAAGTACTAATATTGGGGAGGTGAGTAGTAGAAGATACAGTGTGAGTTTGAAGTACAAGGTAGGAAACTATGAGGATGAAATTAGGTACTTTTTGGTTTTACTTGTAAGTAGAGCAGAGGTTGGACAATTTGTTAATTCGTCAGGGAGGGAGTTCCATAGACTGGGTCCTTTTATTTGCATGGAGTGTTTCCACAGATTTAGTCTGACTCTGGGCATATCAAAGATATATTTATTTCTGATGCAATGCTAATGGATTCTATTATACCTATCAAGGAAAAGTTTCAGATCAAGATTAGTATTTAGGAACAAGGTTTTGTACATGTAAATAGCACATGAGAATGTGTGGAGTGTGTGCATGTTTAGCATGTTAAGGGACTAAAACAGAGGGGGCCGAGTGTTGTCTGAAGAGTTTGTTACAGTTCTGATAATTTGCAGTTGTAGAACCCGATGCACAGACACCGTGTGTTAGATAGGGATAGATTAGTGCGTATTATAGTGAGAGGAGAACTGAGTGGGGAACATAATATCTGATTTTAGAAAGTATACCGACCGTTTTTTAGACTTTTTTGGCTATGTGTTGAATGTGTGTGCTGAAGTTGAGTCTCTTGTCTATATATAGGCCAGGGAACGTTCTCATTTTTATTGTTAATGAAGACAATGAAGTTCATAGACTTCATTTCCTATCTGAAGTTGAATTTGATTTGATGATATCACAAAAGATGAAGAATGTCCCGCCTCTCAATTGTCAGTTGATTGACAGTTGAGAGGCGGGACCAAAGAGCCAGAGCTCAACCCCCGCAAACACAACTAGGTGAGTACGTGTTGTCAAGGCCTCGGTGTCAAGCTGACCGCGTCTCGCTTTTAACGAACAAATGGCTTGGTACCTTCTACGTCTAGGGAGATGAAGTCGACATGTGTGACCGGGAGGGCGAGGAGCAGCGTCTGCAGCGGCAGACACTGGACCGTCTCGTAGATCTCATAGCTCACAGGACTGGCCACCCGGTAGTAGTGGGAGCCGTAGAGGGTGTTTTGGGCGCGATAGCCTATCCCGTCGCTCTGGTCACTGTTGGCCATCTTCACCAATATCGTCTGTGGGGGATAATATTGGGTTTGTTTGATTTAGTTGAATGCATTTACCCAGGGCGGGCTGTTGTTGTGTTATAGATTCAGCTACTCGGAACACGTTCCAAGTAGCACGGGCGATGGTGAGCCCGTAGTGAACTTACCTGGCACAGGAGCGGTGGTGTCCAGGGCGGGCATTGTGTCATGAACGTGGTCCGCCAGTGTGGTCAGGTGGCGTGTGTGAGACCATTACATTAGGTGGTTTTTGCACAATCACCTTCAATGGGTTCACGACATTCAAGTCAGGTGTAGTCCTAACGCAAGTTAAGACCACACCTGACTTGACTGTCGTCAACCCATTGAACGTGCTTAAGTCAGATGTGGTCTTAACTCAAGTTAAATATGGTTTTGACGCACCTCGTCCTCTCGACTGGTCTGTCTTATTGATTGATTGATTGATTGATTGATTGATTGATTGATTGATTGATTGATTGATTGATTTATATATATACAAGAAAGTACATTGGGGTTTAAGAGAGAACATAGAGTTAAAGTTGAAATTACAATCTCGTAAAGCCACTATTTGTTTTTGTACGCTATGGTCCCAACGAACAAATGACAAAGTATCATAAAAAGCAGCGGCTCGCATAGCCACGTTTACTGTGTATTGGTAAGCTAGTTTAGTTGGGTTCACTTGGGTTCATACATTTCTGGTTAGGTTAGTACTTTGTATTTTGTACGTTGTGGCAGATCAAGAACTGTTTGACGTTCTGGTCAGACGTGGTCTCGACAACCGTACATGAGCTGTAGTTCTCAGATATGCATTAACCTATCTTCTCTGGTTCAAGACGTGAGCGCCAGGGGGCAGTTACGAAGAGTTCGCTTATTACTGAGAGCAAAGCAGCGACTGTATTTTATGCATATATATACTGTTGCCAGTGTGTGTGGTGTGTGGTCAGTGTGAGTAATGTGTAGTGTGGTCAGTCAGTATGAGTTAAGTGTGTATTAATCAAGCGAGGCATGCTATATTCTGGCGATTATCAATAGGCATAATTTTACAAGAAAAAGCAACCTCAACTGATCCCAGCGAACCATCACTACCTCGCTAGGGTAAGGCTTGGCAGAGAGACAGGAATGAGAGGTCCAAGCTCGACGATTCTTCTTCAGCAGGAGAGCGAACATGTCTTCGTCAGGCTCCACCAACAGACCCGTCCACCCCTTCTGCCGTTCCAGATACACGGTGTTGGAGAGGTACTCGCCGTCTAGAGCTCCCGCTTCCACGAAGAACCCGGCGGGTCGCTGCTCGAAGAGCTCTACCACCAGTTTGTGTAAAGTCTGCCAGCCAAGTGTCGTGTTACGATAGGACAGGTAGTCGTTGTCTAAGAGGCTCCCGCTCTCCTCCTTCAGGTTGTAGGGCGCGGTGGACGGGGCTACTACGTACCTGCCAGGGAAATAATGCCATAGAAAAGGTAATTAATTGCAGCGTAGATGAAATTAATTACTTACACGAAAATCGCTATCTATGAATTTTTGCTAGATAATTGTGTTGAAGGGAAATTATTTTTGGTAATGAGGTAAGGGTTGTCTTTCAAGGAAACTGTCATGAACTGAATTATACAAGATGTACACATTCAACCATATAAACACACACACACACACACACAGGTGGAAACTGAGTGCCCAAATGAGCCACAGAGATATTAGAAAGAACTTTTTTAGTGTCAGAGTGTTGACAAATGGAATGCATTAGGAAGCGATGTGGTGGAGGCTGACTCCATACACAGTTTCAAGTGTAGATATGATAAGAGTCCAATAGGCTCAGGAACCTGTACACCTGTTGATTGACGGTTGAGAGGCGGGACCAAAGAACCATAGCTCAACCCCCGCAAGCACAACTAGGTGAGTACTAGGTGAGTACACACACACACACACACACACACACACACACACACACACACACACACACACACACACACACACACACACACATACACACCAAAGAGCCAAAGCCCAACCCCCACAAGCACAACTAAGTGAGACTGTAAACACACTTTTGCCGGACGAGACGGAGGAGTCGCGGGTCATCTGGACTTGGGGGCCCCTGGAGCAGCACCTGCAGCAGCTCCTCCTCCCACCACGCCCCCGCCCCCTGCAACACACACACATATTACCATGTTGACCAAACCACACACTAAAAAGTGAAGGGACGACGACGTTTCGGTCCCTCCTGGTCCATTCGACTTGATAATTCAGCCACGTTATTGTGACTCCTCGTCTGCACATATTATCATATTACACAAAGTCATATTTCATAGCGCTTTGGTCCTTATCTCCACATATCAAAGAAGAAATACATAGATGGCGAGATGAGAGAGAGAGAGAGAGAGAGAGAGAGAGAGAGAGAGAGAGAGAGAGAGAGAGAGAGAGAGAGAGAGAGAGAGAGAGAGAGAGAGACCCCCTCTCTCTCTCTCTCCCTCTCTCTCCCTCTCCCTCTCTCTCTCTCTCTCTTGATATCCTCGCTATGCGGGATATCAAGTCAAACGAGCATATGGAGGCTGTGTCTTACAGTTGGTTCCTGGTTCATCATGTACCTTAATAGTTGGATTGATGGATAAAGGGATGGATGGATAGATGCATAAACGGACAGGTAAAATGGATAGAGGGATGGATGGATATATGAATAGGTAGATGAATATAGATGGGTGGATGGATAGCTAGATGAATAGATTGATTGATGGAAAGATTGATAGACGGAGAGTTATAGATAGTATGGATATATGTGTATGGATAGATAGCTGGACAGAGGGTAGACTACAGAGAGGCCCGGGCAGCGCCGGGTACTCCTCCCCCCCCCCCCAGTATGAAATACAGGAGTCTGAAGGGGCAGACTTCAGATAAACTGAAGTAGGACAACAGCTCCCCCCCCCAGTCTCACTAGCCGGCCATACTGTTCACGTGAGAGATCTCTTGGCAGAGTGGGTCAACCTCCCCCTGGAAGGCCCAAGGGGGGGGGGGTTCAAATCCCCCTTCAAAATTATATTCATAATATAAATAATTTATGCATAAACTATCTCCTATTGGGGAGTGTTGTACATGCTACTATGGCGGTATGTCCACTCACAAGATGAGTGGCGCTGCCCAATAAACTCGCCCCTCGGGGCAAAATTTAAAAAAATTTAAATCTATCTGACGGCAATTCTGCCCTTAACGGATGGGCGGGGGGGCCCATCATCTGAGTAGAGGTCCCCCAGAAGCCCAAGACATTATATATGAATGAGGTTGACACAAGAGTAAGGGTCAACAGATCCTTGTAAATGATCTGTTGACCTTTAAGATAGTAAGGAGATAATTGAAGGTGCTGTTGGCTCATCTGGATTGCTTAACTTAAGATCCTCTTTCCATTAAATTTACTGAAGTCTCTGATGCACAGACGTTTTCCTTTTCGGTACGTTTTATTCCTCTATTAAATTACCAACCTAAATGCTGTATTTGTGAGAATTATTAGCGTAGATATGTCCATTTCTTCTTCAGCCACAATATTATTATTCCATATGACCATTAAGTCATCTATATTAGTCATATAGTTTATTGTTCTTTATGTATAACGGGAACCTATTAATTGTATTAGAGTTATTCAGAAACAAAGAGTGATAACAAAATAGATGAACCAATTGATAGATAAATTGATAAGGGATGAGCAAAATGGCGGGAAGTGAGAGATAAAGAGTACTAACTCACCATCAGCATCATTGTACCAGCAGCCAGTACTGCTCCCACACCTAAACATTTCCTCTTGCCATATATAGTATTCCTCGACCTCATTGTCTGCCTTACCCACTGGAAATGAATGAACAACATTTAAATTAGCTTAGAACCCAGTTTCTTAAAAAACTAGTGGTACTCTTAAACTAGGCACAAAGTGTGTTGTTACTTATCAAGAGCGGGTAAACGGCGAGAGTTTACCCCCCCCCCCTATAATTCTTCTTAAAAAGTTGGGTGAGGATAGTCCCAATCATTAGACCTACAGCTTTGGAGAATCAACATATTTTCTAATTATATATATATATATATATATATATATATATATATATATATATATATATATATATATATATATATATATATATATAACCCAGGTGTGGGGTGTGAGTTTTCAGTTATATATATATATATATATATATATATATATATATATATATATATATATATATATATATATATATATATATATATGTCGTACCTAGTAGCCAGAACTCACTTCTGAGCCTACCATGCAAGGCCTGATTTGCCTAATAAGCCTAGTTTTCATGAATTAATGTTTTTTCGACAACCTAACCTACCTAACCTAACCTAACCTAACGTTTTCGGCTACCTAACCTAACCTAACCTATAAAGATAGGTTAGGTTAGGTTAGGTAGGGTTGGTTAGGTTCGGTCATATATCTACGTTAATTTTAACTCTAATAAAAATAAATTGACCTCATACATAATGAAATGGGTAGCTTTATCATTTCATAAGAAAAAAATTAGAGAAAATATATTAATCCAGTAAAACTTGGCTTATTAGGCAAATCGGGCCTCGCATAGTAGGCTGAGAAGTGAGTTCTGGCTACTAGGTACGACATATATATATATATATATATATATATATATATATATATATATATATATATATATATATATATATAAAATGACCACAAAAGAAAATGAACCTCACACGTATCCTTCCTCCCTATATTTCACGACCACTAACTTGTAATATTCACTCTTTTGAATATGTATTGATTAATACGAAATACTGAAGGAATTTCCAATCTCATTTTCCTTCGTGGTCAGACATTGTCAAATTATTTATTACGTGTTAATTTAATTTCTTCGTGATTTACACACACACACACGCACGCATTATACATATATATATATATATATATATATATATATATATATATATATATATATATATATATATATATATATATATATATATATATATATCAATTAGTGTTAAGATGAAATATTTCGTGAAAAAGATTATGTTATCTCTTTGTTGATGTTACAGTGTAAAACATCAGGAGATTATAGAGATACCATTTATAAGAGCATAAATAACAGTTTAAAAGCTTAAAACTAAAAATAACTAAATTAAGTTGGTTAATGTACCATGAAAATACTTCAAAAGTAGTTAAAAATACCTTAAACATGCTCAGTAGGAATGACAGCGTGAAGTCTCTGTAAGGTATTTGACGATTCTGAAAATAAGACCATTTTAACATATAAACAAAATAAAAATTGATTACTAAAAAAATTATATTCAAACTAAATCACATACAATTGTACGTGGGAATATTGAGCCCCATCCTGCTAAAATTATAGTATAGGAACTATGTGGTTGAAAGTACAAATATATCGTAATGGATCACTAGAAAGTTTACTTTTGTAGAATTAGATTTGGACAAATCTGAAAAGTTTTTATATTTTTACTAAAAAAAAAACTTACCTAACACAACCATCCTAACCATCTTAGGCTTAATACACGCTATCTGAGGCTTTATAGTACATACATATGTACTATTCTCGGCAAGAAATATTTAAATTGTTTCTTTAGCATATTTTTTTCAGGACTCTATAATAAATAGTACAAAAAGTGACTTACTGGGGCTCCATTACTACATATTGGTACGATCGACCACATAGTTACAACAAGACCTATCAAAACAGGAGGATGGGTTGGAATATTTAGAAGAGAAACATTCCAATAGCTGACTCAGTGTGGGGTGAGCAAGCCTCGTGACGTCACACCAATTGGCGCCAAAACCTTGAGAAAATACAGATAAATTTAAACGTTAGTACATTGAAAAAAAAAAACATTCATAATTGTATATACAATAAATCAAGTTAGGACAAAAAGAACAGAATTACATTGAAGACATAAAGAAAAACTTTTTCAATTCAATGAAAAACGAATAAAGACTAATCAAAATTTAGATTAGTAGAATTTCCTAATCTAAATTAGAAAACTCAGTTTTAAGAACAGGTAATGTAGCTAGCTGGCAAGTCAGATATATTTAGATGAGGTTTATTTAACATATCAAACTTTCTAATGTCATCAAATTAGCTCCGTTGGTAGATTTAGCTAAAATGATAAAGTCATTGAAGGTTGTGACCTAAATCTTGACAAGGATCCCAAACGAGTGTACGTGATGATTTAATTAAATGAAATGCGTTCACAATAGAAAACTCTCCTTCACAAATTCGAACGTCGAAATACGAAGCGAACTGTCAGTATATCAGTCGCTACAGACACACAAGTGAACTGGCGCACTATATTACAATTTAAGGAGTAGGACGGCACATATAGGCAACATCAGGAAAACAGCGGAGTAGCCAAAACAGCAGTGCATGAGTAGCAGGAAAATATTCTGCCACTCTTCACCGCGATTTTTCGATTTCAATTCGCGATAAAGCTGATCAGAATTGCACTTCACCATTATAAATTCACATTAATGCATTCATAAATCTATGTATCTATGTATTTACGTATGTAGCTGAGCCTAACATTTTAAAAGCACTACGATCACCTTTTGTGGTTGTTCAATAAATCTCTGAACTGTATGTTTGACAAATCTCTCACCCTGTCCATGGAGGAGAGAAGAAAATGTATATATGCTAGTTAGCATTGTAAATGTGTGGCCACGTCTGTGGTAGAAAATAATAATAATAAAAAAAAAACTCTTCACTGCGGCTGGGGGGTAGAAATAGCCTAAGCTACTCTATCCCTTTGAAATGTATTTTTTTCTTGTCTCGATAAACATACTTGAACTTGATTCACCGCGACTTAGGGAGGCAGGGTAGGAAGACCACGAGGGGGAAGGAGAGTTGAGATTATCCTGTATATAAGCCACTATTACAATACATATTATATGTCAATATAAACCCATTGCAGCAAGCAGTAATCACCTTGTGTCTGTGCCCAGACTCTGGCCAGTACTGCGAACACACGCATTATAAAAATGGTCTTTCCTTATAGTTTACCGAAACATTTCCTTCAACATTATCCGGCTTGTGATAATTTTACTTAAAATTGTCCTACGTTAAACATCTTCCCGGCCTGTTACCACCACTATCCTGTATTACAGTAATGATAATACTGGTATTATTGTAATGATAATACTGGTATTATAGTAATGATAATACTGGTATTATTGTAATGATAATACTGGTATTATTGTAATGATAATACTGGTATTACAGTAATGATAATACTGGTATTATTGTAATGATGATAATTCTGGCATTGCAACAATGATGATAATACTGGCATTGCAACAATGATGATAATACTGGCATTGCAACAATGATGATAATTCTGGCATTGCAACAATGATGATAATTCTGGCATTACAACAATGATGATAATTCTGGCATTGCAACAATGATGATAATTCTGGCATTGCAACAATGATAATAATTCTGGCATTGCAACAATGATGATAATACTGGCATTGCAACAATGATGATAATTCTGGCATTGCAACAATGATGATAATACTGGCATTGCAACAATGATAATAATTCTGGCATTGCAACAATGATGATAATACTGGCATTGCAACAATGATGATAATTCTGGCATTGCAACAATGATAATAATTCTGGCATTGCAACAATGATGATAATACTGGCATTGCAACAATGATGATAATTCTGGCATTGCAACAATGATAATAATTCTGGCATTGCAACAATGATGATAATACTGGCATTGCAACAATGATGATAATACTGGCATTGCAACAATGATAATAATTCTGGCATTGCAACAATGATGATAATACTGGCATTGCAACAATGATGATAATACTGGCATTGCAACAATGATGATAATACTGGCATTGCAACAATGATGATAATACTGGCATTGCAACAATGATGATAATTCTGGCATTGCAACAATGATGATAATACTGGCATTGCAACAATGATGATAATTCTGGCATTGCAACAATGATGATAATTCTGGCATTGCAACAATGATGATAATACTGGCATTGCAACAATGATGATAATACTGGCATTAGTGATAAAACTGACATTACAGTAATGGTAATAATAGTGAGACAAGAGCATCAAGACTTGATGAAGAAGTGTATGGAGGAGGAGGAGGAGGGGGGGGGATGTAGGTAGTGAGGATACAAGTGTTGATACAGGGATAGTGGGCCTGTATTGGATAGGGTAGTGTGGATACGGCAGGGACGGTGTGGTTGAACAGGTAGTGTGGACAGTGACAGTGTTGAGACAGAAGGGTGAGAAGGGTGTAGGGGAAGGGGACAGGGTGTAGGTGAGGGGGGGGGGTAACGGCAGGGTGTAGGTGAGGGGGGGGGGTAACGGCAGGGTGTAGGTGAGGGGGGGGTAACGGCAGGGTGTAGGTGAGGGACCAAACAGGAAATTAAGCATCCATGTTTCCATGGTTGTCAAACTGAGGAAGGTGCGTCCTCGAGTCCCGCCACCACCATCCTGCACACTCATCACACGCCTCCCTCCTCCTCCTCCTCCTCCTCCTCCTCATACCCTTCTACCACAACCTTCCACCACCACCACAACCTTCCACCACCACCCCCATCAACACCAACACCACCGCCATCAACACCAACACCACCGCCAACACAACCAGCATAACCATTACCACCCATTAACACCATCAACGCCACCACAACCAACATTACTATCACACTATCACAACCACCATTACCACCACCATCACCGCCAGCCAGAGGCTTAGCCATCACCAACACCATCACCACCAACTCCACCACGAACACCATAACCACCTACACCATCACCATCACCACCATCACCACCATTAGTAAGTGCAACATACCCATTCCCCGAACAGCCTTGGACTTGGCAATGGTTGGGCCACGCCAAGGACGATGCACAATGGCTTACGCCTTTACTTCATGGCCTTCTCACGATTGTTGATCGATAGACTGAAGAGAGAGAGAGAGAGAGAGAGAGAGAGAGAGAGAGAGAGAGAGAGAGAGAGAGAGAGAGAGAGAGAGAGAGAGAGAGAGAGAGATAGGGACTGTTGCAACAACAATCGGGAGAAGACAAGATATATTTTGTGTGTCAGGATATAAGACCAAGATGGTGATGGATAACCTCTCCATCTTGACCCGTGCTGTGTTTCAGAGTTGTCTGAAGTGGTTGTTCAACGTGCTGACGTTCACCTGTTGTTGTTGTTTTAGATTTAGCTACTCAGGACGAAGTGTTCATGTAGCACGGGCTATGGTGAGCCCGTAAATGACGTTCACCATCTCCCTAAAACACTTGACATATAGGCAAGGTAGTCGGGCCGGATAAGGTCAGACCCAAGACTATTACGCAGTTGTGCGGACCTGCTGACTTCACCTTTCACTCTCTTCTACCAAATCTTTAAGGAATCTGACCCTTCTCTATGACTAAAAGCAGATGTTGTTCCAGTACACACAACAAAAATTCAGTTGTCGGGAAGTACAAACTAGTGTCACCCCAACCACTTGGACTGGTTGGTAGAGCGACGGTTGAGCTTCATGCAGGTCGGCGTTCAATCCCCAACCATTCAAATGGTTGGGAACCATTCCTCCCCCCCCCCCGTCCCATCCCAAATCCTTATCCTGATCCCTTCCTAGTGCTATATAGTCGTAATGGTTAGGCGCTTTCCCCTGATAATTTCCTCCCTCCATTCGATTGCTGGCACAATTCTTGAGGCATTAATCTCTCAGCTTATGACAATATTTTTTATATTATTGTCTATGGTGCGGGTGACAATATGGTCGTAGAAAAGGTCGCTTCTGATCCCTTGCTGAAGCTCTCCATATGTGGCATTAATCACTGAGTGAGTCCAAGATAATCTGTGATGTTGCGCTCGATATTGCAGGTGAATGATGATCGGGCTCTCTACACTTGACCTTGTTGTTAAAGGTTCGCTACCTGGAACAAAAGTCCCAAGCAGCACGGGCTATGGTGAGCACGTAGTGACTAAGACTAAGTCACTACGTGCTTCTGACTAACACTTGACTAAGTACAAAGTCAGAAGCGCTATCTCAGGCTACCCTTTACAGCTCATAAAGGACATCCTTCAGGAACGGATGTCCTGAAGGATGCCCTCCCAACGTGTAATGATCAAAGGGACTGAACCTTAAAGCCACTGCCAGTACCAGTGTGTCTCAACGCTTGACACTATGTTGTGGAATGTCTATTTCATCAATCT